AGAGACGTGACTGTGATAGTTTTCGTCGAGAGACGTGACTGTGATAGTTTTCGTCGAGAGACGTGACTGTGGTGGTTTTCGTCGAGAGACGTGACTGTGGTGGTTTTTGTCGAGAGACGTGACCGTGATAGTTTTCGTCGAGAGACGTGACTGTGGTAGTTTTCGTCGAGAGACACGACTATAAGAGTATAACGTTGAGAAACATTACTATAAAATGTTTAAGCAACAGTGTGTAAGCAAAGCGGTGAAACATGATGGTTAATTTTCAACAGCATAAGGATTTTTTGTTTTGTAGCAGAGGTGAAAAATATTGGTAAATTGATGATGTTACGAGGAAGGAAAAACATCATAACATCTTGGTTCATCCAGCAATTTCCAATAAACAACGTTTAATTGACTCTGGCATTAAATTTCGTTAGGATAACGACCTAAAACATAACGTTCTACTAAATAAGAGGAAGTAGGAGAAAATAAACTAATATAGAAGTTATGAAATTGCCAGTCCAATACTTTGTGGCATCAGCTGGTTACTGCCTTACTTTGTTGGATGGGGCTATTTAACATTATATGGCGTTTCTTCTTTAACTACTTGTGACTTTATTAACTCTTATATTATGTACATTTGTAAAAATGCGAGGCCTATGTCCGCGGATATATAACACTGAGATGCACTTCTAAATCCGTCATTATAGCTTGTACATTGTAGGTATTAGTTTAGTCCTTTATGCTGCGCCTCTGCATTGTCTGGTTTTCATCAAAAGCTTGATTTTTGTTTCCAAATTTCTCTTTTCCTTTTAAAGTAAGATTTTTAAAAATCATTTTGGTTTATTTTTAAAGGATTTCGTTCATTAATAAAACAAACTGATTTTTAATCTATTTACTGTTACTGTTTAACTGTTAATAGTATATTTTTTAGATTTTTTTTGTTCTATAGTTTGACGTTTTTAAGGTGTCAATCTATTTTTACTCAATGGAAAAGTTATTGTTTAAACGGTTTCTTCAACAGGACGCTCGAATTCAGGGGTTGTCAGGATCCAAACAAGATGTGCGACAGATCCGAAACAGTCAGTATTCTAACAGTCTGAAGTGAAACGGTTTGTTGAAGAAAGAATTAAACACCCTAACAATTTGTACTTAGATATATGTAAATATGTTGAACAAGTTTAGCAATCTCGATACTCAAACATTTGTGATTATGACTGTTCAAATTCATTTTGAAAGTTATTTCTGATTAAGACATTACTTATCAAATAAATACGCCTTTTGTTTTTCAAGTACCAGTACTGTAAAGGTGACATTAGCGTGTCATTGTACTTAATCATGTATATCACATATTGTTTTACAGTTTTTACTGTATTTCCTGTTTTTCAAAGTTGCGATTGTTAAGGAATGTCCAGTATTTGTATAGTACTCATTCAGAAATTATTTACGTAACATAATATTGAACTCTCGTATTTGTGATTGAATGAAAATTCGCTGCTTCTATGTATTGGCTCTTTTATAGTATTTACTGTTTCACATGTATGATATTTGTATAGTAACAAGTTAAAGATTTACATTGTGTCATGAATTATTCTATTATTTTATATCTGTGATTTTTACAGAAAGCTGATTTTTTGCATGTTTAGTTATTTTACAACTTTTATTACAAGTTTATTATTCTTCAGGAGCTGCTGTCTGTGTCGAATGCCTCGTCAGTGTTTATAAACGAGGGTTTTTCTAAATAACCGTGTACTCTTGTGGTGTTGTTGTAACTAAATACTTTACCTTAGGGTTAGCTAAAGATTACAACAGTAAAACAACTTTGTTTCTGCATGCGCTGAATTAATAAAACTGGTTAGTGTTTAAATAAATGTTTTTGTGTATGACAAGTTTTATTAGCACTTTTAAGTTTTTAAGCACATTTAAATAAACACAAAAACCTAATGCGTTTTCATATTTTATGATATAGCAAGTAGCTGGAAATCCTAAGTATATGATTATTTATTTTCTAGTTACAATTCTAAAAAAAAAACTACAAAAATGTTATTTAAAAGATACATTTCTGTTTTCATATGAGAAAAATAAATATTTTACGTGTTTGATGTACATTACATCAGAATTTTATTATCACTCGTAATATTTTGTTACATGTTTTCGAGACACATTTTGCGCATTTATATTTATATGTAGTTTTATCTGAGGTTCATAATATCACCATTTAGAAATTTTGCTCACAGTGAGTTGAAGAACTGTTTCTTTGTACTGTGAGTCATGTCTTAATTGAACCGTAGTTTTGACGGTTATAACTTGTGAACTAAAATAATTTATACAAAATCTTACATGTGCTCTCAACTCTTTTACCGCATATTTGCGTAGTTGCAGTAAAAGCCAAACAAATGATATGCGATGGTTTCAACCTTACCTTTAGATCATTTTAATGGAAATTTAAAAAAAGTCTTTGGATTAGCTTGTGTTGACCACTAATATTAAATAGCACTATGGTGATTTACGAACAGAATACAAAAAATTTAAAAATGGTATTTCATCAACCAGTATTTAAATCTTTAATACTGTTTTGGCTTTCACAAATTTGATTGGTACATAAATTTTGTTTTTGTTCCAGTGAAAAACATGGTTTTCATACTTTATTACAAGTTAATTTAAAAACCTAATGTAAACAAATATTGGCTTCACCTGAGAAATGTGTTAAATAAAAATAAGGTTTATAAAATACGTAATGTACATGAAGTACTCCATTCTTTTCAAGTAATGAGGATAAAGTTATGAAGATGCGTTGTCAGGTTTTGATTCTTTACAATAGGTGTCTGAGACCGTTGGCGATAAGTTATAACAATAAATGGACAGCATTCAGTCCACTTGTTTTTTAAAATAATATATTCAAAACAAATCAAACGTATATATATATATATATATACACACGTGTTCGTTACACACTTAATCACCGCAGTTGAATCCAGAGCTTTAAATTTTTTTTTCGTCGAAAGTCCACACAGGCCGGTTCAGTTACTTTAGAACCAAACTGACAAGACGAGTTATTCTTGTCTACTCTGTTATTACAATACAATCTGCGATTATTACACTTTAAAAGTCGCCACTATACACTCTTTATGGTTAAACTGACAAACACAGTCTAGGTCTATTTGATTATGTCTCTCAATAACTTAGTCTTACTTTCACTAACTTACTTAACTTGTACTAACTTGGTCACCTATATATATTGCCAAACTGAGGCCTACCTAAAACTTTCTACAAACAACGAGACGTTATGATGGAAGAATACACACTTAAAGCAACGAGAAAAACTCAGAAGATTCAAATAATGTGAAGTAAGTTCAAAACAATTGAACTAAACAACAAATGATTCGTAAACATTTATCATTCGATAAGTTATCATTTCTAAAAATACTAAATTTAACACTCTCACTTTATAACTATATAAATCATAACTCTCATATTAAATGTAAGTGAAACAGTCGAGTATATCTAACACTTGTCACCAGGAACAATATCTATGATTAGTTTGAATAGTGCTGGTCAAGTTACAACATGTTATGATATTGATTTTAAGAAAAAAGGACTAACAAAATAAAACCATTCAAATATTATATAATGTAATGACATGAGTTGCTTAACGCTTTACCTGTCTAGAATGAAAACTCCTGGATTCTTTCTGAAGATATGACTCTAGTAAGTCTGGTAAATAAGTCTGAAAGTTTAATAAATTCACCAATTGGTTATGTAGCCATTAACATAGTAAATCTAAGGAGATTGTTTAAACAGCTTCTAAGAATATTGTAAGTTAGGAATTAAACTTGCGTTATATCAATGATAATGTACTATGCACTTTTATTATATATCACAGCCAGCCTGATAAGTCCTGGTATTAGGTGAAAATCCTCTTCGGCACAGGATGTGGCAGATATAATATGGTTTACATATTATTATTTTTTTGATTCATAAGTACTAGGAATATACACATTTAAGTAAATATCAGAATATATATAATATAAATTCACCATTTTTTCTAAGAAACGTTGAGCTCGAAATTAACATTAAAATTACTCTGAAAGTTCCTATCACCAGTGATTTTAACACATTTTGTCAGCAATAAATAGTGTTTAAAGGAGTAGGCCTGGTTCAGGAAAATATCAAACCAAAAAAAGTTTGAAATAGTTAAGCATCATATCTCTCGTTAGAAAATTGTAGTAGTGATAGTAAACTTTTGAGGTTTATATGGTCTGAAATGATCATACACGAATGTAACATATACCTTTCACACCTTACATTAACGTAGTGAACCTATAGATGTCGAGAAAGATCATACCGACAGAAATAAAAATGACAAGTTTTTCAATGATGAGCACATAGTCTGAATATTCGACCTATTGACTCACATGGGATTCAGGAACAATGTAACTGTGAAATCCATGGACCCCAGCCAAGTGCTAAAAATATATGTGCAAGTTGGAGCTATAGTAAGATATATTTGTAACAGTACTTTCAGGCTATAGAAGGAAAAAAAGTAAATAAAACCAATGCAGAAGCAATAAAATCATAGCAAGAGGTAAACATATTTAAAACATTCTTCTAGAAACGTGTGTCTTCACTAGTAAAAAAGGAATATCGTGGAAAGAGTTATCAAAATTACTATAAAGAAGTGGTACAATGTAAGAAACTGCTGAAGTTTATATACATTTGCAATATATAAATTCACCAGTTATCTCACTCGCATAAAGATGGCACTGGGTTGTTACTAAAGTATTATAGTGCTATAACAATATATATTTAAAGCTAAAAACAAAAAATAAAACAATTACAACAGTTCAAAATCGGAGCATACTAGAAACAAGACAAGGTGTGAAATCGTTTCGTCACTAAATAGTTTCTTGATTTCAATAAATCAACACACTTTTTAAATGACGACTGTCAAGCGTTAAAATGTCAAGGATACAAAATTGGATATGTGATAATGTTCCCCTTTATATAAAATTTATCAAAATAACTTGTGTTACTAATTCACTTACTTCGCTAAAGTTTAACTGTGTAAAAGACACCAGTGTCGTTCACTTTCGAATGATCCTGCTTAAAGCATGATTTTCTTTGTGAAGGACAGAGTGTTTATTCGCATAACCATCCATAGTCTGTGAACTGATTTAGCAAAGAAATAATTACGTATCACAGTCAAATTTAATCAAGAACTCTCACAAAGTTGAAAAATAATAAACATGGTTTTAGTGACGGATTATCTTTAGCTTATAAACTTCACAATAAAAGTATGCCGAATATAATGAAATTGTCTTTGGTAATTGAAATTATTCAGACATACTTTGGTAAAAAAATAAAGGTTTTAGTCATAGAGTATTTTACTAGTATTTCATACCATGATATCCACATATAAAATGCTAGGCAAGTTTCAATGAATACCGATAAGCTGATGTAAAACGGTTTGGGAAATGAAAACTTGGAGAAAAACTAAGAGGAAAGTCTCTTAGTCAGATATAAGGTATGATTAACTTAGCAGTGGAATATGTCATGAGGTGGTAAAAATGTATGATCTGACAAACAGGATGAGTAGGGTCTCCTACAATCCTGAGCGGAAAATGACGTACTAAGCATCTTCTTGGAGTTCTAAGATACATTGCAGGCTTGACCTTGAAACGTTATAGGAAATGTCTATTTTCCTGAGTTTGAAAAAGCGACCTTAAAGTGTTTTAGGTTAATCTCAAGTCTCCTAAGTATTCATTAATTTCTAAAGATGATCATTAGATATAAGGCACGATGAAAGTAAGCAACAATGTTTACTTTATGAAAATAAAAATACTTTTCTCCTACGTTATCAGTGAAGCAATTTGAAATATTATATTTAGTTTCAGGATTCAGTTCTTCACAAAACAAATGTGTAAGTATCTGTTAAAATATAATTTGCTACAAAGAAGAAATACAAAGTAATTAGTATTTAAATTCATTTCCTTGTTTAGTTCACACATAGTTGATTTTATATTGCTACCTATAAGTCTGAAATCATTGAGAATAAATAATATATTATACTTATATTTTATGACCTTTCATCCGTGACTAGTAGATAATATCAAGCTTTGTGTGCATTTCGCAGAGGTGATGATAATTTTTATTAATGAATAAACTTAGGAATATATTATATGCAGTCTGTTTCTTTTAGTGCAAAGCTACTACAAAATGTACTCTATCTTGTGCTCTGTACGCAGCAGAGAATCGAACTCCGAATGTTAACGTTGTAAATCCGACTTATCACTGAACCATCCGAAACCTTGTACAGTCTAAGCGTTTTTTGATTCTATCTATCTATTTTACTACAAACTTTCCCATTCGATTAAAGGGCTGAACCAAAATGCAAATACGAAGTTATTATGTTAGAGAAAATTATAACGTAATAATATGTTACACCCACCACGAGTTTCATGTAGTACTGACGAAGAGAGGTTTGACCAATTGCAGGCGTATAGTATCCTCATAAAGCTCTTGAACGGCATAATAATATTGATTTCTTCAGCGTGTTCGGTGGTCTTTTCTAGAATAACGTTATTGATTTATTCCGCCTCTGAAGCAAAATATATAAATATACTGAAGGATCCTCCAGAGAACTAGGCAGTACAGTGGGTGGAGCTATGCAGAGTAAAACAGGATCAATACCTTTACTGTAAAAATTTATTTAGATACACTGGCCTGTCTATTCCAAAATAAATTAATCCTTTAACGAAACAACTGACTTTCTACGATTGAATAGTTGCACACCTGGTAAGTGGACTTCAACTGACTGAAATAAACCATAGAGATCAACAACTTGTAAAAGCCATTATTTAGCATACTATATTGTATTACACACTGA